CAGTTTTGGGGTCGCTAAAAGACAAAAATCAAATTGACAACGCATATGTTGAGGATTCCATATTCCATTAAACCAAAGCTGAAAGTTCAAACCATGGGAATTGACTTGGACGCGCGCCCCTTGTTTCCTCCGCAATGTAATCGAGAAAACAAACAAAGCGCCCAAGTCAAAACTGCTTGCTCCCCAAAAGGACATGTGAAAATTTAGTGCGTCTGCTGGCTGGGGGAAATTTAGTGCGTCAGCTATTTGCCTCCCAAATGGACCATAGACTACTAGATATTCAACCGAAAGTCGTACCCCTCAACCCTCGATGACCAGGGACACCTTCACGAATCCGCAGCTTATAAAGATCCCAACCTCCCGTGACCCTCCTTGACAAGTTTTTAAGGAAGGGCTCGATGTGCATGGTGAACAAACTACTGGAGGTATACGGCACATAGCCGGCCGTGAGGTTTTCTCATGCACGTCACCGCCTCTGCGCTCATGCGCTGTAAATTCCATGGGGGAAACGTGTTTTCCTGAGCCACACCCTTCTGCGCCGCAATTACACATGCAAATCTATGCTTCATCCCACGAGCGCCACGCTATTCAAGAGTTCGAGCACTGTTTCGCAATGGGGTGCAACTACGTGCAAAGACACAGCGAACACCATTTTGCATGCCGAGAGCCTTCGTATCACCGTCCTTGCTGAGCATCATATCACCGTGCTTGTCACAGAATGGGTAGCCCCAAAAACGAAAACCCTCTGCAAACGTCGATGTGTGGTGTCATGTGAATATATTGTATTGAGAACCTCCTTTTTGCCCTCATGACAGTGGCAAGGACCCCATGTTCAATATCGACATCCTGATAGGCCACAGAATGTTTATTGACACATATATATATATATACACACATGCGTTTATATACCAATTCCTGCAAGGGTTTCCTTTTGCTACTTGTGTGAACCCTCTGCACAACAGAAAATGCCCCTCCGCTTTCAAAAGCAAAACATAGTCCAAATGCATCGTGACACGGCAACGAACATATTTACATCCCCCCCCCCCCACGTGCGCTGCTGCGTGTACGATGGGCTCACATAAAGCACGGCACACGCCGACCATTTCCCCCCCCCCCCCCCGGTGCGCTGCTGCGTGTAGGATGGGCGCACGTAAAGCACTGCGCGTGCTGACGAACGTAATGACATCCCCACCCCACCCTCATTCCCCCTGTTCAACCCCCCCATCCCCCCCCCAAACCACCCAATCAGCTGAAAACCCCACGGCCGTCTGTGTGCAGTGGACCAACTACTGGACATTCGCACCATGGGACTCCATGGCTGCGATTTCCACTCCTTCGCGAACCAAGTCCACACCATGGGAAACGAACACGCCGTTTTTGGGTCGTCGATGTGCAAGGGAAACGCATGTGGGACAAAAAGGAAAGGATACCACCGTGTCTGAGAAGTCATGCGCCGCCCTGCCCCTTTTGGCGTAAGCTGTCAACATCTTCAAGTCGTGCGATTGTCAACGCCGGGGGACCCCAAAATGGATGATGTCCTTGAGGTTTCCTTTTAAAGCACCTGAGAATGGATATAGCCTATTGCACCCTGAACCAGGCTTTTCCCGAGTGGGATCTACGGAATTTCCAGGCAGGGACCCCTCAAAAGGGTATTTGCTGTTGAAAATAGTATGGGAGCAATCGTGTTTTAGGAGTCATATAGGGGGAGAGCATAGGGGGGTGAGGCAGGCAGTGGGACTAATCCATTTTGGAGCTGTCGTGGGGTCATAATTTCGTATGTTTGCTGACTACCAGGAGCCTCAAAAACCGATGAAAATGTCATACCTACAAAAAAAACGATGTTTTTTGGGAAAACACAATGTTTTCGGGAAACACCGCCTTTTCGATTTCAAGCAGTTTCCCATACATTCCTTCAACTCGTCATCCGTTCTCAAAAGATCTCAAAAGCATCATCTCAACCTCAGAATCTCCCATCGCCCTCCCCTTTTGCACTCGTAACGAAATCAGCTTCGCATTCGCCACTCGTCTTTCGCAACTCCAATCTGAAAGAAGGAGGCCGGGGACCCAAATAGTCAAAAGTACCACGGTTTTATGACACTTGTCAAGCAGCAATGCCATGATGAGGGCGTGCTGGCTTCGAACAGCGCGCAAGCTCAAGCAAAGACCGTGCTTTTGCTCACGACTTCGTTGTTTTCCAGCAACATTCTCGAATTAGCGCATTCGTGGTTGAACCCGAAAAACCCATAGAATTTCCACGCTTTGCCACGCTTTACTACGGGTTCTCCACGGTTTAGCTACGGGTTAGAAAACACAATGTTTTCCAAAACCACGATGTTTTCGGTTGGGGCTGCGGGCTTTCTACGGGTTTCTACGGGTTTTCTATGGGTTTCTACGGGTTTTCTACGGGTTTCTGCGGGTTTCTGCGGTTAGCCGCCAGGATCCCGCCCCATTTTCTAAAAAAAACTCAAAATTGATAAAAACAATCTCAAAAGTGTCACCT